ATGTTGGACTGGTTGGCTGATCGTATATAAGCTACTCCAACCTCAGCAGAGAAAGAGGACGAGAAGCAGAATTATAATTGAAGGTCATTAGTTCAATGTGGCAGGAATAAGGCACGGCGGGTCCAGGGATCAGCGTTTTGTGTCATTTTATTTACAACACCTCACACACACCACCACCACAGGACCCAGTACAATATTTAAGTCGGCGGGGCGTGATTGCGGATGCCGTACAGGTGCGCCCGCCTCCTCTGCACGGCACCGCAGGCCACGCCCCGCCACATTCAAATCTGTGGACTAGACCGTATTTAGGTTGGGGAAATGAGTGCGTAAAGATGGGGACATCCTTTAGCAAAGATGATCCTGAAGATGTAAATGTGCACTCAGAGTCTACAGAGGATGAATGAAGATTCAAATTCACATTCATTCAAAAGTGACTATTTCATCTGCCTCTTCAATTTCATCTGTCACTTCAATCTTACTCTCCAATCACACCCAAGTACCCCGAGTACCTGGAGCTCTTAAAATTTTATAACAGCTCATATCCAGCTGTTAATCAGTGCTGATTAGGCTCTCTAAAAAGTGACTGTGGCTGAAAAGCAGATTTCTGGAAGTATGAAAGTTTGACAGTGTGTCATGTTAAAACTAACGAGTATTAATTGATTGATTGATTGATTGGTAAATAATGGAAATTAAACTGGGCAATATGGTCACATTTTCTAAGCCCAACTCTGATTTAAAATAATTATTTCTAGCAAATATTTTGTGTGTTTACTACATATAAAATCTTCCTTATTTGACTCATCTTTTCCTCTTCCCCTTTTCTTTTCCCTACTTTCCTGCTATCCAGCTTTATCTGCCGAATCCTCACTATTTTTCCATTTTATCCACTCACTCTTTCTCTGCTCATTTACTGCCTTTTCATGTGTTTGACACTTCATTCCTGTCTCCTTGCTCAACCCTTTAAAACTCTCTCAATACCCTTTTATCCATTAGGACACCCTGAGAGAGTGCCCGCCCGATCGTCCAGGAACCGACTACGGCTGTCATGCCGGACTGCAGTTCATCTCCCCGATGTATTTCGTGTCCTTCGTGCTCACAGCTCAGTTCGTACTGATAAACGTGGTGGTTGCCGTGCTGATGAAACATCTGGACGATTCCAACAAGGAGGCACAGGAGGATGCCGAGATGGATGCAGAGATTGAATTGGAGTTGGCCCAGGGAGGCCTGTGCTGCATGATGGGAGGCATCGGAGCCATCGCTGGGGCCACCGTTGCCACTGCGAGCGGGGCGGGCGTGGGCGGCGGAGTGTCTGGCGCAATTACAGCGGGAACAGTCGGAGGCCCAAGTAGCGGATTGATGGCACCACTTCGAGATGGAGGAGGAGGGAGCGCTACTCATGAGGGACACACTCACCCTCGATGTCGCCTCTACTCCCCTGCACAGGTGAGTGGACTTTCAAATATTCAAGAGAGTAATTACTGCTGAACAGAGAGCTCTTGGGTTGGGTTCTGCATGCTGGCTATGTCAAAATCACACTCATCTTTTAGAAAAACAAAATAGTTTTGTAAACCTGTTTATACCTTTTTTTACGCAAATCATGGCAGTGGAAAAAATAATTATAAATACTCATTTGTTTAAACCAGAGGTCAGCAACCTGCGGCTTCCAAGCCACAGGCAGCTCTTTAGCCGCTAAAAAGCTGCATGTGGCTTGGAAGCCATGGGTTAGGCTTAGGGTTAACTGTAACTCAATTACATATATGTATATGTATTCATTCAACCTCTACCAGTTACAGCCGTCACAAAATGATATTGAAACCTGTGGTTGTAAGGATTTGACAGACACCGTTAGTCTGCACAACTCTTGACTGCAAAGTCCGTCGAGCACGATGACTCATCATCCGCTAAATAGCTCATTCAACAACACAACAGGATTGCCTATCTGAGTTACAGTGTAGAGCCAGTTTGCATAGTCACGGCCCAAAATGTGTTTACTTCTGTCCATTAAGGTAACATATACTACTCCTTTGCCCAGAGCAAGGAAAAAAAACACACTAGTTTCTGCCATTGTAATAAACCAGTAATGCAATCGGAGTAATTATCATTAAGTGGCATTTTCAGGGTTTGCTTTTTGATTGCTTTTTTTCTATGCTTTTCATGGTAAATGGTAAATGTCCTGTATTTGTATAGCGCTTTACTTAGTCCCTATGGACCCCAAAGCGTTTTACACTACATTCAGTCATCCAACATTGTATTGTAGCCACATTGTACATTGTAGCCACAGCTGCCCTGGGGCGCACTGACAGAGGCCAGGCTGCCGGACACTGGCGCCACCGGGCCCTCTGACCACCACCATAACTAAATTTTCAGAACTAAAGAAAGCTATTTGTACATGACTGGTTGGGCTTCTAACCCATGTCCTTGCCAACATATACTAGTGTTAGCAGTTCTTCAATTAAAAACGTCTTTCAGCTGCTCCTTAGCGGTTATTGGACTGGCTCATATATCTACTCTCCTTAAGCACTCAAAGCAATTCATACAACATACCTCATTCACACAAGCAGTTTTTTATGCTTAAGTGCTTGCTGTCTAACATTCACAGACATTCACTCTGCAATGAATGGATCAGAGAGTAACTTGGGTTCAGTATCTCGCCCAAGGATATTTGGCATGCAGACTGCAGCGGCCAATAATCGAATCACCAACCTTTCAATTAGTAGATGACCTGCTCTAGCTGAGGGGTCACAAGTGGGCATCATCACAGCACGTATTTGACTTTTTCACCAGATGTCCCTTAGTGTCCCCTCCCAGACTCAAAGCAGGAATCTTTCACATGTTAGGCAACTGAAGCCACTTCATCAATTAATGAAGGATAAAGGTTATCAAATCACAAAATACTCATCAGAGTATAAATTAAGTTAACAGTCAATCATCTGAGTAATATGCAATGTCACTCAAACCTCAAGTTTGAAAAGCATGAGCCATTGGAAAGCCCTTTTACCTCTTTTGGTGAAATGAAAGTGACAACAAGTGAATTGGAGAAGCAACAACAAGACAAGCCCCAAAAGGGGAATGGTTTGGCAGGTGGTGGCCACAGACCACTTTTCTCTCCTCCCTCCTCCTTCCTCACTGACTTCTATTTCTAGTTTTGCTTTATTGTCACTGTTGGTCACATGAGACCTGCAGCCCATTCAACATGCACCTATTGCACATCTGCACACGCCTGTGAAATGAATTCACATTTTGCTCCCTAATGAGAGAGACTGATAACTGACTTTGTGTACGTTTTTAAACGGCATAGTTGAAAATACCCTTTTACATTGTTCAGGTTTTTTTTATTTGCTGATCACTTATTGCTTCATAAAACATAAGAAAAGTAGAAAAGAATATCCCATTTTTGTAGAAACTGCTGTAGATCTTCTGTCACACAGTCAAAAACACCCACGTTATTTGCTTTTCTTTAAAATACAGAGAAGAGGCAAATTTTACTCTTAATTTTTATTTAATTTGTTCATTCAGAGAGAACAGTCCTCAGCCATCCCAACAATGGACTGTTCTCTCTGTTGAGGTCAGGAAAGCGATACTGCTCCCTGAAGACCAACACAGAGAGACTGAGGAGGAGCTTCTTCCCGCAGGCGATACGGTCTCTCAATCACACCACCACATAGTACTGACCCACACATATGGTTTTTACGCACACACTGGACATTCTGGACATTTGCTTACACTAGTGGCCACTGCATAACTACACTGTGTGGTCATCTAATCGAATCACTTTATCACAAGTCACTTAAATAAATCACTTTAAGCATATTTGCACTGCACAAGACACTTACACATGTGGATTGCACAACCCTGGATATTATATTTCTCATACCATTTAGTACTTGTACAGCTGCTGTTATTGTTCTATATTTCTTCATATATTCTTATATATTTCTATATTGTGTATTTGTGTATTGTGTTGTACAGTTATTTTATTTTTAACTTTAATTTTTATATTTTATTCCTTCCTAGCTAAATGTACCCTTCATTTTGATTTTCATATTTATTTCCTATCCTATTCGTAGTTTTTTTTTCTTTAGATCACGAGCAGTTGTCTAAGCATTTCACTGCATATCGTACTGTGTATGTGACAAATAAAATTTGAATTTGAATTTCATTCATGAAGTGATAGTTGCAGCTCTAACTTGAGCCTGGCTCATATTAAAAGTACTCAAACAGGCTGTGAATATATGATGAACTGTACACGATTTGCATGTTTATTCTGGTTATTTCAAGACTTCATTAATTTAATCTACAGTGGCAGTTGGTACCGCGAGTATCCGTCAGGCTCAGTGGGACTGCGCAGCAGCTGGAGTTGTTTTTATTCATGAAACACCGCTGCCCTACTTGTGTGCATACAAGGTGTTAGAGGTGGCTTTTACACCCACACATAAAGATATATTAAAGCACATAAATCGCAAAACTGAGATGTATACTGAGAACTGCTGCGCACATGTGTAAATATATTAAATGGCCACCATCTTTACCAAAAAACACCAGCAATGGTGGGAAAAGGATGCCAGTCAGTAGACGCCACACTTCTAATCCCACTGAAACTGTTGCACCTGCAGACGAGAACAGGTATTTTTAGACGTGTGCCTGCTGGAGCAGAAAGAAAGACACATGTAAATAAGCAAAGGTGGCAACAAACAAAGAGGGAGGGAAACTAACAAAGGAAAAATAGAACAACTATGTGGAAAAACTGAGACGGGCTGGGGAGGGAGAAGGAGCACTAGCAGTTTGGGAAGGTGAGGGAGTGAGCAGAGAAGTGATTGTTGCATCAAGTGATTGAGCAAACGCTTGAATGAAGGGTGACTGTGTTTGACACATTGAATAATTGTGTGGAGGAACTAAAGGTCTGTTTGCATCCCGCAAGAATCTGCTGGAGTGTTTACTTCTGAGCTTAACTAATTTGTTTGGACTGGTGGCAGCAGCTCCAAGTGAGTAAACTGCAAGGTGGCTCATTAGAAATGATTAGAAGTGACCCTGTAAACACAGACACTGTTGTTGGCATCGATGCCAGCTGTTCTTAAAAAAGAAACAAGAACCCTAAACAGAGCTATTACCCACCTGAATGCTAGGCTGTCCTATTCTCTGAGAACACACAAGCAGATTTCCAAATGATTATGCAGAATAGAGTTATTAGTACAGGAAGCTTTCTGGAAGAGCACTATGGACCCTCGCCAGGCTCCTGATGTTAATCTTTTTTGTTTCATTTATTTGTTTTATTTTATTAATCATGTTCTTATCAGAGTAGTTATTATGGTAGAGCAGACAGGGGGGGGAAGGCCAGGTTGGTGAGGGACGAATTCTTAATACAGCCATTCACACTGACTACATCATTTTACTAGATTAATTTGCATCCAGTGAAATTATAAATGAGATGTTTGTTTGTTTGTTTTTTTAAATAAATAGAGCACCAATCAGACCAATAGACCAATCACAATACTGCATTTGCCAACGAGTGTGCTTGTAGCTCAAACTGCATTTTGTTAAAGAAAACACAATGATATGGAAATCGTAAAATAATAACTTATTTATTTATTTATTTGTTTTGTATGAAAACGGTAAGTAGACAGCTTTAACTTCCGGGTCAAACCATGAAATTCCCCCTGCTCCTGACATCTCATGACAATCTGATGAACCCACAATCTCAGTTTCTTCCTTTTCTTGTTTAGAACCACATCATCAGCACTTGATGTCAACATTTTTTGAGAACAAATTTGAATGTGTCTATAGACGTGACATGACAAGTTGGGATCTGAAAAATTCAAAATTTCCGTGTTTAATGACCTTTATAAGAATATACATTTGGACATTTTTGTAATTTTGGTAACAAAAAAAAAAAAAAAAAAAAAAAAAAGATTGTGAAAATGTTGAATTAGTCAAGTGGATGTGGGCAAACAGTGGCTCATTCAGTAACGGGAAGACTGCTATCAGTCCCCGGTCCCTCTGGAAGCCCCAGAACTGTCCCCGATAAGTCACTGTAGCATGAAGTTGTGTGTGGACGTCAAATATATGAAGTCAGTGTGTCTCACACTGAATGAATGGGTGATTTGGTCGTGTAATGCAGAGTGCTCTGAGTGGTCAATAAGACTGAAAAGCACTATGTAAATTGGATCCATTAACTGTTTTGTTCAGTCCTAATGTAAAATACTGATTATAGAAGCTTTTAACTTAAGATTGCTTAGTGACTGTGCCATTAAATCTAATTAACTGTATATAGTAACTAAACTTTCACTCCCAGCACATTGTGCTCTTTTACTTCTTCTTTTTTTTTGCTGCCTTTAGCATAATGAACCCTTTAAGTTCTTTCTTGCTGAGGCTAAAAAAGACTTAAAACTAGATTAAAGAGTGAACCCAGATGCACTGCATTGCTAAAAAATGCAACTTTTATACAG